GGGAAGAGCCAGAGCTGAGGCCAAGCATCCACCACCATTTGCATAGCTCTTGCATAGTGCTTGTGCTGTTTGTGCACTAAGCAATCTCTGGGAACCAGCTGTGCTGGAGCAGTGTTACTGTCTAACTGGCAAAGCAGGAAGGGTAGTCACTGTGTGTGTGCAAAAAGATGAATCTATTGATGTGGAGGTGATATTTTCATTCATATAAATGGTTGATTTAAAGATTCAAACACCGATGAAACCTTATCATCAAAAGTAAAGATGAACCAGTACAAGATGGGGTGAAATAATGTCAGCCAGTATTTGATTGATGTCTATACTTGTTTTTGCTTTGTGCGTACTCAGATGGAAATCAATAGCTCCACTCAACCGATGGAATTTGCCTTTTAAGAATTGTAATTGTTTGTGTCTGGAAAGCCCAACGGTTCGGCCTGGGAGCGAAACGCTCTCTGCTGGACTGCAGATAAGGAGAAAATAATAGCTATGTCAGTACGTGCCATATGCACAACCACAGCATGTTTTTGGAAAGACTCGTGTTTTGAAATGGTTGATGATGCGGTCACTGGTCCTTGTCCAGACATTCTGTTCGTTGTACATCAAAATCTATCCGCTCATCTGGTGCCATACAAGCTGTGTTTATTTCACAATGACATGCAGAGATTCAGTACAGTGTGGCATAGTTACAGCTTTAAAGGGTTATTGAAGAAGTAATAATTTGCATCAAATTTTTTTTGTATACAAATGTACATGTATATTTCAGGCATTTTTCTACAGAGACTTTAACATTTAAAAAGATGATATTTTTGATATTGTGTTGGATGACTGAGAGGTATTTTGATGAAAGCTGACATTCCCTCGAGGTATATGTTTTTCAGGGCAGAGCAAGATGAGTTATTTATACATACCGAATCGTGTTTACATGAATGACAAACTTAACTATTATAACTTAGAGAAACTTTACAATGTCGGCTGCAGTGGGAGGAGGAAAATATAATGCAGAGATGAAACGTGACGAAAACCAAATACCTAGTTGTGCTTTATCAGAAGGGAGGCATGGGAGTGAATGAACGCATGACTGACTCTTCACTTTGTCCTGCCATCACTGTGTTTTTCTATGCATTTCTGTGGAGAAGCTGTCTGGTAGTGGGCCTGGAATGCTGGATTTTCTGCCCTCCAGAACAGAATTAAATAGTATTCCCTCTCATTCCCTCATCCATCGGGTCAATCCTGACGTCAATATAAATCTGACAAATTTCCATGTTGCTCTGGGTAATGAGTCATAGGTAATTAAAAAATGATGAAGTACTTTTATATATATATAGCACTTATAAAAACCAAATGAGTTATAAAGAAACAGAGTAACAAGATGAATATTACTCCAAATAGATCAAATATATACAGGATATACATAGAAAATCAGTCAAAACTCATCAAAGTTCCCACCTGACATCCAAAAAAATCAGCTAAGCAAAAAATGCAATAACTTACATATTAAATGAAATCATGCAAGGTTTAGTACAATGAAAATTAGTTACTGGCCATCAGAGTAGATAAGGGTTAAAACTCACTTTTCATTCCTTGCAATTTCACCACAGGAGATAACCAAATGACCTTTTCAGCACTGAGAAGGCACTAAACTCAGTTAAAAGCTGAAATTAAATCAGTTCTATACCCACTGTAAGTGTCCCCATCTACAGCCAATTCACCATATTTTTTTCTAAAACCAACTGTAAGCATCAATATTATGGAATATAATCACCGTTTCAGCAGAAAAATTGTACTAATATAACATCTGTGAAATAGAGTAACAGAAACACCCATCAAATATGGTATGAGTGTTGATATTGCCTAGAGAAGCTAAAGAGGGCACTTTGCAACTTATTTGGAATGCCAGAAACACAACCAGCCTTTCTGAACAGAGTCGGCATAAAGGAGTGAATAAATAACTACAAACAAATATGTGTGTCTGAAAGAAAAAAAATATTGGCCGATATAGCAGACTTTTTAAATCAGAAAATACGGGTATCTTAAAAGTCCTACATCAGTCAGGCTCTAGTTTAATGATATCACCATGTGTGTAACTGGTAAAAACCAACAGCATGAAAGGTCTGCTTGGTACCAGTTTGGTACCATGCTCATCTGTGACTTCTTCTAGTGGGTGGATGTAAAATTCATTTGGTTAAGGTTAAATGTGTTTTTGCACTCTGATAATTTCATGTACTTCATGTACTTAAGAAGTGCATTGAGGTCTAAAAAAACGCTGTAAAAAAATAAGGCGAATTAAAAGGCGACTAAATTTCCACCCGCTCCATGTACTCATTTCAGGTCTGTAAGTCAGAAAATATCCACAGTATGAACAGAAAATGTTGCATGACTTCATTTAGTATGCTGAAGATATTGCACACAAAAATAGCTTTTCTGGGAGGTTAAATGAGAGGCATTCACAGGTATTTCATGTAAACATGATTGCTGGTGAGCAACTTTTTTTTATTAGCACACCCCCCTTGATACATTTAGATTAGAGGCATCACACACACTTGTAAACCTCACCTCTTTGTTCAGATACTGAATTAAGGACTAAACTGACTCAGCAATGAATCGCTTTTAAAGCTGATTGGAATGTCTCAAAAAGTTGTTTGTGTTATTTTATTGTGTGTCCACAAACTGTTGGGAAATAACCTGTGAGAAGTAAACACTTTGCACTTGGTCAGTGTGCGTGTGTGTGTGTGCTTTAAACCTAACAATACTTTTAGTGCTGATTTTATGTCTGTATTCTCTATTAAAAGCTGTCCTCTTGTGCGTTTATCTCACGGATATGTTGAGCCTCTGTGAACCGGGAGCCCAACGGAGGAAATTAAACTGCCTCCGAGAGCGTCACACTTCATCAAAGTTACCAAAAAGCAGTGAGAGCAAACGTTTCAAAAAGAGAATGACAGAAAATGGCATCAGCAGCTGCATCAGTTAATTGAAGATTAGTGTGATGAGATAGCAGGCTGGCAGTGCTAAAGGCCATCAGCTGTCTCCCGAAGATATTCAGAATATCGTATTCATTAGAATAATTCAGATGAATTCATGGTGGCTTGTCATGGTCATACAAAAACAGACCGCAGCCAGCAGCTCAGTGCCATAAAAGTGACAGGGTTACAGGAACGGGGCAGCGGTGGCCTAGAGGACAGAGGGGAACATCATAAGTTCAAATGCATGAACTGGAAAGCTCTGCTAAGAATGTGCATGAGAAAAAGATATCTTTAACTCTGCCTTTTGGAGTGCCCTCAAGCAGGGCTCTCCATGAAAGGACTGCAACAGAGCTGGGCAGCTGTTTGCAGCCCAAGTGAATGGGAATCAGGCCGTGACAATAAAAAACTACTTGCATTTAATCCCGGGGTGCCTTATATTGTAATTATAGTAAATGTGCAAATTTTCACAAAGCAGAACAAACTAAAGATGCTCGTGGTGCTATGATACTATAATGAATGTGTTACTGATATATAACAAAGCTATGATTATTTAGTTACAATATTAAAAATTTAGGAACCAATAGCCCTACTGATTGGAGAATGTTAAATATATTTTGAATCCTGAGGCAGTAATTACCATAATATGTGATTATTTTACTTGAAATATGATTAGCAAAATATGTTATTCAGACACTTGTTAAAGTATATTAGATTTACAGAGAAAGAGTGAAAACACAAGAAGTGAGGCTGGTGTTTGTATTTTCCATTTAGTCCACGTCAGACCACATCAAGAGACCAGATAATGTCTAGAGTAAAAACAGCTACTCTTAGGACCACATGAATCCCGAAAAGCTACTGACTGTTTAAAACAATGTTTCAGATTAATGCAATACCATGCAAAAGTCTTAAGTCACCAATTTCTTTATGTTTTGCAGTGAAAATGGGAAACACTTGCAGTGATTAATTAAAATATGTGCAAGCATACATGAAAATCCAGTAAATAAGGGAGCAAAAAAAACCCTACAAATTTCAACAAGCTTGAAAATTGACGTCTAATATGATCAATTTTGCTGTGCATCATAGCCTGAACTCGGTTAGAAAGGCTTTCTTGTTATTTCTTCAGGAATAGTTAACCAGGTTTCTTAAAGGAGTCTTTTGGATGTTGGGTGTCTTTTGTCCGTCAAGATCACTGCATCAATATTACTGAAGCAAATTTGGATTCATCACTCCACAAGTCCTGTTGCCATTGCTTTTCAGTCCAGTTCTTGTGAAATGTGGCATACCTCAGCCTTTTCTCCCTGCTTAAGAAAGGGTTCATGTCAGCCATCCTTCCACTGAGACCATTTCCAAACATTAGCTGGATCATCTGAAGGGATCTCTCAGGATCCTGTTGCTAGATTTTTTTCTTAAGGATATCACTTATAGAGAGTTTTTTTAGGCCTGTCAGATCATCTTTTGTTCTCCGTTCGTCCAATTTCCTCCATTTTTTAAGGCCACACTGCACAAAGTGCTGAGGTATTCCAAGTTTCAGGCTAATAGATTTTTGGGAATGTTAGTACCAAATACTATTTGAAGCCTTTCAAACTGTGTTATTGTTGGTATTTCAGGTAGATATAATTAATGAAATGGGAACAAATTGTATCTTTTTACAACAGGCTGCTGGTAACAAAGTGCCTAAAGAGATACATTTTAAAACCGGTTCTTTGCCAAGTTGTTTGTGATGTAGACACAACACTGGTTAATTCCTTGAGTTAGGTGCCTTTTTCATGCTTGAATGATTCATAGCTCAGTGTTAAGTTGCCCAATAAACAAAAATAATGTCTATGAAAATGGTCAGGCATAAAGACATAAAGAGGAACTTTGAAAGACCTTAGGAAATCCAGGTGAATTATTGTTCAATACATTTTCTTTTTAAATACAAACTCTATTTAAACCCTAAATATAAAGGAATGACAGGTGACTCGAGACTTTTGCACAGACCTGTATATTCAGCAATGCTCCATCCGTGCAGGTGGAGAAGACAGCAGCCACCTTTCCAAGGGCACAGACAGGCGCGCCTGTTTTATTTACTGCTTATCCGGATGACGGCTGTTTCACGAGAGCTAAAGTGAAGTGATCACCCCGCCCTGTCAAGCTGGCAGGGTTAGGCACAACGCGCGCTCTGTTAGTGTGTCACGTGACCGGGGGAAAAGAAGAAAAAAGAAAGAGGCGAGGAAGAGAGAAAGGGAAAAGCAAAAAAAGAAAAAAAAAACTGTGGGACTATCCGCTTGGAAGAAGAGGGAGGTTTTCTGTTTACGCGCAGGTAATGAATACTAACACTTAGCTGGTTATTATAATATTGTCCTAACTTGTGAGAGTCCACCTCTAGCAGCTCGTCTGCAGTCTGCCGGCTGGATAGACGTTGGATGCATGTTTGTTTCCACGAAAGAGGCTAAAGGCGTGAAGCTAGTTGGCACTGAGAGATGTGCCTTCAAGCACGCTCGTTCGTGTTGCTCTCGCTGTGTTACTGAAGGCCAGCACGAATTCCTGTAAAGTGCTGATGTGTCAAATGCTTGTGACCAGTCAGCCCTCCTTGATGGTGAATCACTCGCTCCAAAAAAAGCACGAAGCGGTGGAAAAAACTTGCGGCTAATAATCCTCTTAACGTCTAAAACGAGCGAGGACGCTGAACTGGCCGCTTCCTCTTGGATTCTGTCGTTTATGCGGCTTCCTGAGTGTAAAATAAACGTGAAATAAAACTCGTTACTTTGGTCTTTTTTAGTATTTAGTCGAGAAGGGCGAAGAAGTCAGAAGAAGTGGGAGACTGTTCAGTTAAGCGCTCCAGATGTGATGGGAGGACGGACGTGGATGTCGGCTGGATATGAGACAAGCACGTAAGTGAGGGATGGGTTTTGTTTGGACGGTCAGTAAGCAAGACATGTTTTTATTTTCTTTTTAGTCTAATTTCAGCTGTTTTAAACTCTTACTTATACTTTTTCCTTACTTGCATATTAATTTTTCAGGAGTAGATTTAAGAAGTTAAGAATCTGTGTTACAAACACTTTTGTTATTCCTTTCTTTTTTTAAATGGTCTGGAGCATTGGCTGTCGAGGCTTTCCGAATGTCTCTCAAAGTTTTTCTTTGGCTCTTTTTCACTCATTTTCAGGGAAGTCTTTTACTTGTTTGTTAGGTCACTTAACACTAACCTATGAGTCATTAAAGCATAAAAAAAGGCACCTGACTCAAAGGATGAACCAGGGTTCTGTCTACAACTTGTCTGACAACTTGGCAAAGAACCAATTTTAAATTGTGTCGTCAGGAAATTTGTTACTAGCAGGCTGTTGCAAAGACACCTAATTTGTTCCCATTTCCTCATATGAATCTGTGAAAAATGCCAAAGATAACAGTCTGAAAGGCACACAAATGATATGCTTGCACCAAAGGTTGATTCCAAAAGAGCTAGTAGCTGAAAGCATGGTATACAGTGTGTCCCTAAAGCACATGAGGAAACTGGACAAGAGGAGGAAAAAAGAAGAGGCAGGTTTAAAAAAAAAAAAAAAACTACGGCAGATGAACAGTATCTAAAAATGATGAACAGTGCTCCAAAGAAACAGAAAAGAAATCTGACACAAGATCTGAGGGATGCATCTGGCTCTTTAGTTGATCCATCTATTCTTCCATGAAGCCTTATCAGAAATGGCCTCAGTGGAAGAATGGCAGTCAATAAGCCATTTTTTTAAGGAAGGGAAACACAAAAGGCAAAGGAATGCCAAATTACAGAAGAACTGAAAATCAGTGGAAACGGGTCTGATGGAAGCAATTATTAGTGATTACTGAAACAATGATCTTAACAAAGAACACAACAAAAGGCAGCCAACATCCAGAGAGGAGCTCTGAATGTCTTCGACACTGTATAAGCTGTATTTCCTGTCATGTTTGCATGTTTCAGTAAATCACTGCAACTGTTTACCATTGTCCTTGCAAAATATATATAGACATGTGGGGTGACTAGAGACCTTTGGAAAGTACTTATATCTCAGTTAACTAAAATACTGTTTCATATCTAAGTTATTATAGTTTTAATGAACTATAATAAACTTAGTGCACACTCAATGAACCTGAAGCTTTTTAATTGGTTTCTCCTGTTTTTATTCTGATGTTGGAAGAAAATAAGAAACATGAGTTATAGCATGTGCAAAGGTGAATTTGTCTGATGGGGTATTGATGCCCATTTTGGGAAAACTATCGACGTGGGGTTTCCCCTATATCCTAAGGCAGTACACATCTAGTTTAAATTTTAAAAAGGAAAAGAAAAGAAAAAACATTTGTAGAATTTCAAGGACTAGAAAATGAAGGAATCTCGAGCACTCGGAGGAGCCTTGCTTGACCATCAAGGAGCTACAGAGAATACACCAACGTGGACATCCTGCTCCACCACCTTCCTACGCGCCACTGTCTTCCTTTTTCCAGCCCGATCTTCCACCACATCTTCCTCAATGACTTCCACTGCCTCCCAGACAAGTTTCCCTTCCAGCTTACTCTCATGGTCCTCAGATAATAGCTTCATTACCAAAAAGCGAAAGCTATAATACAAACAAGCTATTAACTACCATCAAAATAATAAAGTGCCTTACTTCTGTTTCCTAACAAGAGTAAAATTGGATTAGCAGGAGATAATCTGAGCCCCAGTTTACAGTTGAACATGTGATTAAACAGCATGTAACGCACTAATCTGTCCATGCTGTGCAAGTTAGACTTTCAATTTGTCTTGCACCTGCAGGGGGTTGCAGTATTTATGTGTGCTACAGCGCTCTGTTGGTGTTATGACAGGCAAAACAAAGTAAATGGACAGTGTTTACATTGGCAGGATGTCTCAGCGGGGAGAAGAAGAACAGGAATAGGTTGAAGTCCACTTTGCAAGCATGTGCCCTTTCTAAAGTTCCCAAGAGTGCAAAATTCAGTCACTCGTTTTTAACTCCTGCCCCACGGCTCTGACCTTTTCTGAAAGGAGAAATGCAAATAGACTGTTATTGAAGAACTTATTATAACTACTTTACAGTGTCAGTGAACCACAATTTAGTATGGTACTGTGATAACGTTTTTTTTTTCTTTCAGCAAACATAGATAAGCACAAGTTAAAGTTGGCAGGAAGTACACTGTGCAGGTTCTTGTTGTACCTTTTGAGTATGAGCTGATAAATTTAACCTTGTGATGACCTCTGACTTTGTAATATTCTTAGGTAAATAAATCTGAAACGGAGGAGGGGAGAAGATGAAGCTGAACGAGCGCAGCATGGCGCACTACGCCACCTGTGATTCACCACCAGACAAGACGGGCTTCCTGTTCAAAAAGGGGGAGCGCAACACTGCTTATCACCGCCGTTGGTTTGTCCTGAAGGGTAACATGCTCTTCTACTTCGAAGAGCGCGACAGCCGAGAGCCCATTGGCGTCATCGTTCTTGAAGGATGCACCGTGGAGCTGTGTGAGTCGACCGAGGAGTTCGCCTTTGCCATCAAGTTTGATTGCGCCAAAGCTCGTGTGTACAAGATGGCTGCTGAGAACCAAGCAGCCATGGAGTCCTGGGTGAAAGCGCTGTCAAGGGCCAGCTTTGACTACATGAGGCTGGTGGTGAAAGAGCTGGAGAGGCAGCTGGAGGAGATCCAGGAGGCTGCCGGAGGCAGCTTTGTTGGGGCTGGAGTTGGAAACCTGCAGGGCAGGCCCAAGTCCTCAAAGCGAAACCATATGGGACGGTCCAGGTCTGGAGCATCTTCTTCTTCATCTTCCTCGTCCTCCATATCATCGTCATCATCAAGTGTCCCTCCCATGTCAGCCTCCTTCTCTGCCCAGAAGAACCAACAGGATGAGCTGCAGCTCATCTCTGGGCCCTCCAAGGAGAATGGTGTTGCATGGAGTAAACCACCAGCTGCCTTGGCTAACGGCTTTGTGGAGGGAGCTTCATCCTGTGCGGTATGGGAAAGCTCCGGGGACCCTGCAAATGTCACTGGATACGGAGCTGATGGAGCGAGGGCTCCGCCTGTGCCTCCCCGGAGAAAAGGTGCTTCTCTGGAAAGCCCCGTATGCCCTGGAACCGGCTGCTTCTCCAAACTCCATGACTGGTACGGCAAAGAGGTGGAGGAACTGAGAGTGCAGTGGCTTCAGAGCCAGTAAGCTTACTGAGGTAGATCGCCTCTTTTTCCACAGTATATCATTCCTTCCTGATCATTCTGCAGTGCTTCACCTATCTGAACCCAGCAATAGAGTGAAGTGACTGAATGGAGACTTAACTGCAGTCTTAACTAATGGCAAATGAAGGAAAAAAAGCATTTGAGATTATTTTAAAATCCTGTCAGAGGGGAAAAACTGCCATAAATGTTAACACTATCCTTTGTATAAGCCAAAAAACACAAAATATGCTCTTTGTCCACAAACCGAGTTATATTTCCCAATTGCAATTTTAAAATCATAATTCTTGTATTACAATCATCAGTTTTTCAAAAATGATGCAATGAGTTTAGCCTTGATTGATCCTTTATTAGATACAAATAAAATAATGCAGCTTTATATTTGCTGTGACCTTTTTCCCTTAATAAGAACCATGACGTTTCTCATTCCTTCCTTATCATTCTGCAGAGATTGTACATGCAAATTACTTTGCTAATCATGTGGACATTGCAATAAAACAACAGGTAACTGATAAGGTCACAACAGGAAAGTCTTTTTATAAGGAAAAGGAAAAGCATGAGGTGATTTCTGTTGTGTAATAACAATCTGGAGACGTTGCACAAGACAAATCCACAGAGTTTGAAGTTGTTATGTCACATTAACCACGCTATAGTGCAAAGACAATTCTGCAGCTTTATGATTGAAGTCCCAGTTTTGTGCTGTCCAGCTTTCACCCCTTTTGGTGATGCAACTTTTCAAAGCTGCTGGACTGTTTTTGAATCGTGTTCAACCTAATGACTTGGGCTCCAGGACAGTTTTCATATTTCAAGTTATATATTCAGGATTTTCTGTTTTGGTCAAACTCCCGTAACGCTGAGATAATTCACTATAGTAAGGTGCAGGTGTATGTACTGTGTATGGCCATCGCCAGTATTTTTATTGATCTGGGTGACCTGGCCCTTCAAATCTTTAAATAACGAGGGTGAGAAGTGCCACAGTCTACTTGAGGTCCAATATTACCTCAGATATTTCGTTGTCATTCTTGAAACAGGCAAAATTCCTCTAACCACAACAATATAAGGCACAAAAAATGTGTTTTCATTTCATTACTAGGCTACTTATTTCCATATTATGCACTAATGATTAAAGAGGTCATGTCCTCTATAGTAGTTGGGATCAATGCATATAACTTTGATACAGTAATCACTTCTGCAGATATTGACTGACTCTGTCTGCTTCAAACTTCCTTTTACTGAAAGCTTTTATGAATGTCTTTAATATTCTGTTCATTTCCACATTTTTATGCTTTCTGTTTAATTTGTTTCTGCGAAGCACTTTGTATCTTTGTTTAAAAAAGTGCTGCATAAATAAACTTTATTATACATATTACAGTTTCTCTGAATTTCTTTAGGATATTTTTGTCTAAACATTTAACCGTTTTCACCTAATTAGACATAATTTGTAAATGTGAGTCAGTCTGTTTTCGCACACAGTTGCACATTTTGTTTGCTTGTGCGTGTCAGCCATTTTGCTAGGCACGCTCTTTAACATAAGTATCTGATCAGTCAATTGCATGGCAGCAACTCAAAGCATTTAGTCACGTAGACATGGTCAAGGCAACCTCATGAAGTTCAAACTGAGCATGGTTGATCTGGGATTTCCCCCACACTATCTTTAGGGTTTAAAGAGGCTGGTGAGAAAAAGGATGCGTCCAGTGAGCAGCAGGTCTTTGGGCAGAAATTCCTTGCTCATTTCAGAGTTCACAGGAGAATGGGAAGGCAACAGGAATTCAATAAATCACTTTTTACATCCAAGGTACCCAGAAAAGAATATCTGAATGCAGAACACATCTAACCCTAAAGCAGATGGGTTACAGCAGCAGAAGACCATGCCGAGTGCCACTCCTGACAACTAAGAATAGGTGATAACTAACTATGATAGCTGTAATAACTATCAGACTAATTCACCTAAGTTGGAAAATTAAAAAATTAATTTCTAGTGCAACATTCAGATCATGGTCAAAATTAAGCACTGATCAGGCTGATTAGCACATCAGGCTGATGAGTAATGGTGTGGGACATATTTGCTTAGGCCAAGCAAAGCAAATATGAGGATCATTTACATCCCACATCCTATCTGAGTATTGTTGCCGACCATTCCTTGATGATCAAATCTTCTGAGGGCTCCTTCCAGCAGGATATCACGCCAGTTGGTAAAGCTTTAATCATCTCAAACTAGTTTTTGATCACAACAAGTTGTTCACTGTACAGTCACCACATCCCAGTCCAGTAGAGTTCCTTGTGATGTGGTGGAGTGGGACACTTGTGTCATGGATGTGCCACCAAAAAATCTGCAGCAATTGTGTGGTTGACAGAATTAACAATGCTATACTGAATTTTTTCATTTGAGGAGATCGACTAATAGAAGCCTAGTACAGCAGCAGCCTTTATTGCTGCTCCTCCTGCTGCTTGTTTTCAGCAGAACCCAAGCTAATTGTATTATATTGTAATTACCAGGAAGAAAAGCAAAACTTGAGTCTCATCTCTACAGTTATAACTCATATCATTGCTTTTCTGTACCCCTGTTTATAGCTTGTCTTTCTCACTCATATCTTTCCCAAGGCCTCTGAAAATATCCATCAGTAATTCTCCCTGTTTTAGACCTTTATGTTCACTGCCTGATTATCAAAGTTGACCAAATGTTATTCATTATGTTCAGATTTATGCCTAATGAGCAAAATTAAAATAATATAAAAGTATTCAAGCGAGTTTGAACCTGTTTAAATCCTCCATCCTCCACAGCCTGTCCAATATCCTCCAGGTTACAGAAACTATATGAAGGTCACTCACCTTCATATGGTTCATATGATTCGCTCATATTCTAACAATATTGTTGTCTATGTTTAATTCTGCACAGATTTTTTTTCGTAGATGGAACAAACGGTTTTAAGGAATTTTATTAACAGCCCTTTGGGGTACGAGGTGTTGATTTGCAAAGCGGTTTACATGCAGGTCAGGTAGCAGGCCCCCTTAGCACAGTTCTGCTCATCGGAAATAATCCTAAAAGCAGCCAGAGGCAGCAAACTAAAGTCAACCCCTTTTAACATTTTGGGAGAATCTGAATTACAGTCTGGTGAATCGTAGACAGGTCTGTGTGAGTCAGCACTGGCGCTGAAATATGGAAATAGTCTCATGATCAGATCTCATGTGTGCAGAAAAAGGGGCCCATTTAACCTGTTTTTTAAACAATCATCGGAAAGGGTTTTGAGGGATCTTCTCTATATTTTGTGTATTTTCTGTGGCAGTGTGAGAGCTGAGACATGAAGGTCAAAGCAGCAGAATCACTACGCTTTCGGTACCATCACTGCTTTCTCGCCTGTGGCTGTAGCATTGTGACCTGGTCGCTGAAGCTGCTTTCCTTCCTTTCGAGACTCCAAAACCTTTACTCATTTTCACCAGGAGTTTTGTCAAAACTTCAATTAAGAAGCACTGAACTTTTCCAGGTAAGTCGCCACCTTTATTTCCCCCCACAGGCGTGCTTTGCTTCCCGTGTAGAACTTTTGTGCATTGTGGGTGAATTACAATTCACAGTTCAGCACCTGAAGCTTTAATAGGAATTCTGTCTACTGCTCCACCTTTAGTGGCATGACTTTTACAAAAATGCAGGCAAGTAGAGCAGACTAAAGCAAACCACATTGTGATTTTCAACTGGACTCTCTTACCTTCATCTCTCCTGTTCCACTCTGCTTGCACAGCTTCATCTTTTGGCAGTCTCACCTGGCTGTGTCAAAACTTCTTCTTTTGAGCTGCCTGTGAGCATGTCAAATGCATAAAAAGACTCCATTCAAAACCTTACTTGAATAAAATTATGTAAATGTCACCGGCAACATGTATTTAAAATATCATCAATACTCTATCACCACTCTGCAGCACAAAAATATCTTACCTGTCAGTCTTTCGGTGCTTTAATCTATAGAAATGTACCGTATTCTGTACAAAATATGTATTATTTCCCTTTGAGGTATAATTCAGAGGAAGTATAGCCTAAATTCACACAAAATGGGAAAACTAAAGTATTTGTACTCCAGTCACAAGCTTGTATTTTACTGCCTCGCTGTGCATATTACTGCAGATCTGCAGAATGCCTTATGTCTTGATTATCAGAACAGAAACCATATAAATATGAGAGCTAAAAAGCACAGCAGAATTAAAATGCTCAGGTATGATGTGGCATAGTTAACTATAAGTTATGTACAGGTAATTGATAAACTCATAAACATAAGGTAGAGTAATAAACAAACTGATCACTGGACTTCAGAGTTCCCTCTCTTAATTAATCTGAATGTTCTGTGTGAAGTCCTTCCAGACTTCTGCTCATGAATATCATTAATGCATGCCACCCATCCACATCCCCCATGCAACTGCCACCTGAGAGAACGTTGTTATGATACATGAAGAGATGTGTTTTGCTGCGATCTGGTGTCTGTCTCAAACTTTAACTGGTCAAGAAACTACTTACTTTGCTTGTTGTGACTGCACACTCAGTGAGGTGCAGCTAGCCTTGGGCTCAATGCCTTATTTGCAGAGCTTCTGCGACACGTTAGTCTTGCAGGGTTGCAAGTGTTGCTTACTGCCTGCTCTATTTACCTGCACCTCCTGACCTATTAGTGCCTTCATGAACTGAATACTACCATGTAAGTAGTAAGACATTTAGGACGACAGTGGATTAGATGATTATTTTTACTGTTTGTCTCTTTTTTTCTCTTCCAGAAATGGAGAAGCACATTTTATATAACTGTATGTCTGGTGTCTGATGCGCTCAGTTTCTCACTTGCAAAAGGATTAAGAAATTCTTTAATGGTGCATGTTTGACATTTTCAATACAGAAGAGAGACGTCTCTTTCGTTGGGTTGCCATTAGCTCTGCAGCACATAAAAAAGACACACACAGAAACACACACACATGCATTTTTCTTGAAGTTCATTTCACTTTTCTCCTAATTTAGTTTCGAGGGCGAGCTTCTTGTTTCAGTGTTTTTTAGTTGTATTTGAATATGCATGTATATCATATCAAGACATTAAGGGAAATGCACCTGACTATTATCTTTTCTAGTTTTTGAAATTTTAATTGCAAAGGTTTTACACCTAGTTTGGTTTTTAGTTTTTATTGCCACTTCCTAGCTTTTATATCAGTCTTGGTACAGTATGAGTCTGAATGCATACAGTCATATTAAATAGCTATACAGACACAGACTGCACACATCTCTCCTGCATCTTTGTGAGCTCTTCTGCTCACTAGAGGAGATCTAAACAGTAACACATAAACACATATTCACACTTTGTCTCACCAGCTGCATTTCTAAATTGCAGTGAAATTAAATCATTCTTTAAAGATCTATTTCTGCTTTTCAGAGAATAGATGTGTGAGGTTCTTCAAAACCTGCAAACTGCCAGAGCATTTCCCGGTGGCCTGAAGGTCATTTTCGGCCTGCAGCGAACCGTCAGTGAACATGCATTGAACTTGAGCAGCAAAGTCACAGCAAACACAAGAGAGCTGACGGACCTCTCAGGCGTGACTCTGCAGGGTTCATGGTGAGCACCGAAAAGGGGAAGTGCATGTGGGCTTGCTCTTTCTTTCTGTAAAGCCTTTACATGCTTCTAGTGGAGTCAATCGGCATAATGCTGACTCCTCTAGAAGAAACATGGAGCACAGAAGGAGAGATTGGAAAAGAGGGAATGAAAAACATGAGCATGAAAACGCATAGTTAGCCTTTTTTTGTACTCTTGTAGCTCATGCTCAATTTCAGTACGTTCAAGGTTGCATTGTAGATTTATTGCATGACGTATGAAAACTTTTCTGTGTCTGTCCTTGTGGCAGCAGAGCTGATTCTGCTGTCTGTGCAGTGATGCAGAGGGCCTTCAGTATTGCCCATGATGGATAACAGTTTGTTTAACTTCAAGTGTTTTCCCACTTTGCAGGAAATCCCAGAGTAAGACTCACTAATTACTTTATTGAGTCTGCTCCAATGCTGCTCCCAGAGCACAACATACCGTTCTCACCACGGCAGACTGGTAGAAAATCTCTAGATAAGGGGAACTCACACAAAAATGTGTGTGGTGCTCTTGGTTTATATAAATATTTATTATTAAACTTTGGATGTTAAAACTGAGAGACTTTTCAAATTTAAAATTGCTGACACGGAAATTCTAGCATATCCAGTCATGGAGCTGTTCACATTATGTGTGCGTTGTGTTATATTCACAATTACATTATTACACTTGCAGCCATTAGCATATATCTACAACCACAATAGCTGACTTTTGCTCTTTTTTTTTGGTTTCTTAATTTTGTCATGAAGTCTCATCTCCATTCAAATCACTTTTTGGTTACACGGTTCAGTTCCGTTAGTTTTCATTAGTGCATAACACCATTATCACTGATACATGAATGACTTGCGCAGAAAAGGGGTAGGAGTGATACAGTGTGATTTTATGTTTGTTTGTTTGTTTGTTTTTCAAATTGCAAAATGTAATATTGAGACAGCTTTCATTTTTAGCACGTATCATTAAAAGTCTAGTTGGATGGGTACATTTTTTCACAACTCCAAAAGTTTGTTACTGTAATCGCAGACTGAAGGAATATGTGACTGTGCCAAATTAACACTGTCATGCAGTCTGATGCCTGGACTCTGCTGGCTGGGTTCTCTGCGGGTGCTTTGGCTTCCTCCTTCAGTACAAAGGCATGTTAGATTAAATTGTGATTCTGAAATGTCAGTAAGTGTGGCTACGTCTGAATCGATGGGCTAGTGACCTGTCCAAGGTATATCCTGCCTTTGCTCAGTGACAGAAGGGATAGACTCGAGGAAATGTAAGTTTATTGTGTAAATATCCAGTGATTTTTAACCGATTTCCCTTTATGATACCGTAAAAAAGACGTTTTCTATAAACAGGCACACGCTCCTCATGCACTGCAGGCCGTCTACCATTAGATGTCGCTGTTTAACAATTTTAGATATGTATTTCACAAATAGCTTCAAACTTTATACTCATACCTGGCAATATAATTTAACGTTTTTACCATCAAACAAGAAATAAACAACGGATTTCGGGTCTCTAGAGAAGTAAAAAGCAAAAACAAAACAGAAAAACACAACAATCCATTGTAGGTCAAGATAAAATATGTCTTCGTTTGTTTTTATTTCCCCTGTCTTATGTGTTAGAGAGAAAGAGAAAATATTAACGTCACATTTAAGTGATCTCCTTACTTTAAAGTATAGCATAGTACAGATCTACTGAGTTAAAGCCACAGCAAACAACATTACACACCTGAACATCTGTTTTGTTAATTTTTTTTTTTTTAAATGATCTGCATCCATAAATAAAGTACCAAAATAAAGGTGCAATAACTAAAAGACTTCACCTAAGAAACTAGACACCTTTTGCAGTAACCTGCCCAGGATGGTATTCAATAGGAGCTACTTCCTCCCTGATAATTTCAACATAAAAGTACACTCTTAAAGCTAAACACTGGTGACTCAGAAAGTGTTTTTTCATCTATGTATATCACACTTCTGTCATAAAATCTGTCCTTATGACAGTTTTAGAAGATTATTAAAGGATACATTTACAGCTGTGGATACATCTCATTGAGTGAAATCAGCTGAGACACAATACAGTGTTTGTGTGCATAAAAATGGGTCAGTGGTGGCAAACATATAAGCATGTTTGCACAGGAAATAGGTTGCTGACACTGCTGGGCCAGAGTGATTATAGACCGCCCAGCTGTCCCAAACATCCTGTGTTTGTTGTGAGCTCATTTAACTTCATATTTTTTGTGAATATGCAGTCATACAGGATGACAATAAATTAAATGACATGCGTGTTTTCAGGCAGATTGTGCCTTGTTTCAATATTTGGTGCATATTCCTAAATAGGTTCATATTTGATTGTATCATGTCGAGCACAGTGCCAGTGAAAAGTGGCTGTAAGTAATTTAGTTGGTGTGCACTGAGCTGTACAATTAAGAGACTGATTTCATGCTGTTTTATGCTTGTCTTGCGCCACATGCATGTCACAGGAAAATATCTGACAGCTGCAGTTTGCAAATAGAATTAGATGAGCACATTCAGTTACTGTATTTTTAATAAATTCTGCATTTAAACAGAGCATTTGCTAAATGCAGTCAGCTGTTTAATACTTGCCACGTGTATAATTAATAATAACACGATCTAAGGTGACGATAAATAATTACTATAATGTGAACAGGGGCCATGTTGCATGCAAAGTGAGGATATTGATAGCAAAAAGACAACTGAAAACTAAAAGTAGGCGTGATAGAATTTCAGTTGACTCAAATAAAAATGAAACCTTGACTCTGAAAACCAATAAAAACAAAGTAAAGCACTCTCATAAAACACACTAACAATAAATAAATACATAAATCAAACAGGAAATGTCCCAAGTTTTCATCTGTGTAATTTTGGTCAAATTTGTCAACAAGCCCCACATTTCTTCATGATTTCATGTTAACTGCCATCACAATGTGACGTTTGTTTTGTAATAGTCTACTTACTAGAAACACCCAACATATTATAAGAATTAAAAAGACTGAATCTGAAGTAAAAGTGAACTGTGGAAACAAACTGAAAGGAAAATATAAAGGAAAGTTCATTAGAAATACAAAACAGAAGAAAAAAGTAAGGTGTGGTTTATGTTGATTTCATGTATCACTATTTCATCACAGAGGGTCCTGTTCTCATCTTGTACTAGAGATCTTAAACAGCACTGTATGGGGTTTATTTGCAAGACTCTACAAAGATCGCCTGGTTATCTCTGCTCTTTGCCTGAATTTAAACATAGGACTTTAAATGTCAGCTCACAGGACATTGTTACCTTGGCTGTACCTTTTACCCACAGCAAACTATGGAAGAACTACATTTGAATACTTTCCTGCACACAGATGGAACAAGCTAAAAAAAAAAAAAAAAACTATGAAGTTATCTGATTCCATTGGAGCATTTTAAAATGTTATATTTGTGTATCTGCAACTACTCTTGTACTTTTTCTTTTTCCTTCTGTCTTCTCATTTACAACAAGTCCCTTTAGGGTTGCTTTGGCAACCCCTAAAGGGACCTCTTGTACATAGCTTTTTTCATTTCTGAGCGTGTATACTGTGTCATTGTGACTTTGTGCTCTTAAACTGTATGCCCTTTGTTGAAAAGAAGATCTCAATCTCAATGGCCATCTATTTGAATAAAACAATTTAATTCTACTCTTTCTTTTGGCTGCTTCCTTTAGGGGTCACCACAGTGGATGGTCTGGCTCCAGCTGACCCTATCCATAGGATTCACACCATCTGCACTGTTCTCCTTCACTACATCCATGAGCCTCCTCTGTGATCAACATCTTTTGTCCAGTATATCCAGTCTCTCTCTTCTACACAAGTCCAGACCATCTCACTAACTTTGTCCTAAAACCGCTCAAGCCGTCCCTCTGATGTACTCATTTCTAATCCCGTCTAACTTGGCCACTCCCAACAAACATGTAAACATCTTCCACTCTGCCCCCTCCAGCTCAGCCTCCTGTCTTTTTGTTTGTGCCACCATCTCTAAACCATAGATCATAGCAGGTCTCACCAACATCCTGTAAACCTTCCCTTTCACTCTTGCTGTAATTATCTCAAATCACATCCGACACTCGTCTCTGGGCCTGCACTCTCTTCTTCACTTCTCTTGTGCACTGTCCGTTGCTTTCGATGGTTGACCCCAGGTATTTAAAGTCATGCACCTTCACTACCTCTACTCCTTGCAGCTTTACAGTACACACACGCGTATTCTGTCTTATTTGCACTGACTCTCCATTTGCCCTTTTGGTTGGACATTTCCCGTGTGCCTGCGTGGGCCTCCTCCTCTACTCCACCTTCCTCTCACAGTCCAAAGACATGCATTATAGACTTATTGGTCATTCTAATTTCGCCATGTAAGGCAGAAAAGGTGACTTGTAAATGTACGGTTAAAAAATTGTTTTTACAGAGCAGTAAGACAAGAAAAGTACATTACATTTCACTTTGAATTTTTATTTTCATTTAGGTTTAGTTTCAGTTCCTTTCCTGTGTGGATCTGCTCATTTCAGTTTAGTTTTTATTGTTGGAAAATGTTCTGTTTCAGTTCAGTTTTTATTAGTTTCAGTGTTACTTTTGGTGTTTATTTTTTAATTGGGGTGGCATTTGTCAGTCTATTACAATGCAAACACTTCTCATCATGTAGACATTGCAGTCTCAATGAACATGAAAAAAGCAAACGCTAAAACTAAGCACATTACCTTGGTGGTTTTTATTCTAATGAGCTTTGTAAGCATACAGTTTGTTTGTCTTTATAAAAGAAACTCATTTTTAATTCTTATTTAATTTAAGTAAAATATTTTCCACGCAATATTTTACTTTTGTTTTAGTCTACTGTAATAACGGTGTTACAATTCGGATATTGCCTCCTTAAGATAGAAAGTCTTATTTTGAAAATACAAATGCGGAAGTAAGTTTAATCGCGAAAGCTCACTGGACCGCCACACTTTTTTTTCTTTTTTTTTGACGGAAACGAGGGCTAACCATTTTTTTCCGCGTCAAGTTCGTGGCTGAAAGTTTTCTTCCTCTCTCTTTTTCCCCCCCTTTTGCGGAGGACCAGTCGCATGCAGTCACAATGAGGGAGAAAGCGAAGGACTTTTTATCGCACGGCTTCTCCTCCGGTGTCCACTTCACGTTGCTCTTCACTGACGTCGTTTAGACTTACTTTAATGCACAACACATTTCCGTTATGCGAAGTCCAACTTGTTGGTTAGTCGTCGTGCTGCGGTGGGTGCCCATCCGAGATAACGGAGAACGTGAGTATGTTGTGGCAGTAACTTTCACCCCCCCCTCCCTCTCCCACACTCTCTTCTTAGCATTGCTAAACTTTTCTTTCTTTCTTTCTTTCTTTTTCTTTCTTTATTAAATGTAGCCGCTTGGCGACTAATCCCAAAATATGCAGCAGCCATGTGAACATTTTTTCTTCAAGGTCGGAAAAAAGAAATGTAAAAAAAAAAACAAAAAACGTGGTTGTGTATAGTTTAAAGGGTCTGCAGGAGTAGCTTCCCGAGTTGGTTGCATGCAGGCGGTGCTGGCGCAGATTTTCCTTTAATTTTTTTCCCTTTTGCCCCTAAAGTGTTTTTTTTTCTTTTAACTAGAAATTAACTTGGTCCTGTCAAACCACAGAACAGCTTCTTCTGTCTCAGCGAGCACAGCTGTCACAATATACACACATGGAAATGTGCAGTTGGCAAGTTTGTAACTAACTCGAGTGAATTTATGTCACTCAAAAAATTGTTTAAGGCTTTGGCGCAAATTTACTCAGCAGTGGTCGCCATGGTGATGACGCAATACTAATCCCACTGACCCTTGATTTTAGGGATTCGTGTCAGGTATTTAAATACAGAGACAGGCACTGATAAAGTACGCTTTAAAAAAATACCGTGTTAAAAACGTGCATCTGAAATTTAGTTTGCGCCTATTCATGACTGCTGGATGGAGATTAGAAACTAGTGGGGAGAAGCCACTTGGTTTGAGAGTCCAGTGCTGTGTGAGTGTGTGTCTGTGTGTGTGAGAGAGAGTAAATCAAAGTACTCATTTTGGTGTGTGTGTGTGTTGGAAGGAATTCAGGTCTATTTCTGGCTCATGGCTGTTTGTGTGTGTGTGTGTGTGTGTGTGTGTGTGTGTGTGTCTTTGTTTGCACCGATTCCAGCTTTTAGAGCTTTGAAATGAAGGTACTTTTGGGAAGGTGAAGGCGTGTTGTGCCTTTAGTTGTGATGATTCAGTTCAAGGTGTGTGAATGTGGAGTGCTTTATGTGGCAACGTTGGTCTGTGTGTGTACTACAGGAGCATGATCCTTCAAAGTAAAAGCTTCACTAGCTGTGGTGGTTGCTGAAATCCTCTGACCAAAAAATGTGTAGTAAAGAGCAGATGGAAAACTACATTCTAAGATGCTTTTTGGAAAATATTGGGGTTATGGTTCAGATGAAAACAAAAAACACCAGAGGCTGCTAAACATGTTAATACCAATGTATTAACACTCAATTGGGGTTTGTTTTGTTGTGATATAACTTGGGGAGTACCACATCAAGGCTTAAATGCATTTTTTATTTAAAACATTTTCATGACCACCAGATATGTTTTGCCATCCTTAATCGCCATCAAATGGGTAAAATAGCATAAAGACATGCTGACTTCAGTAAAATTAGAAGGCCCATTACATGCACCACTGTTTGGGTCACAATATAATTACAACATTATATTGGAGGTAATAATGAGCTGTCATTCACGTTAACATTTTCTTTGCATAATTCTGCCTCTTCTACATTTTTCGGTGGTTATGTTATTTTACTTTTGCCCGTGTGTGATCTGTGTGATATTAACAGGTGCTGAAGCTTACCTGCAGGGTACATATTTACCTTGTGAGGTCTGCATACTTTGACGACTGAGTCATTTCGATGCAACAGTCACACCTTGAGCCACAGAGGCAAAAAATATCCCTCTTGGGTGGTAAAGTAACACGGCTTTGTATATAGTTTCTTTGGCTGATAATTTTAACTCTGTCGAGCCAACCTGACGTGGTTTATGCCAGACAGGCCTGCAAAGCCAGGAGAATATTTAACGGTGCATTGGGTTAAGGGAGCGCTATTCAGTCACCATAACTTACAGTGTGGGATAAAGAGCGATGGTGAGCGATGTAGGTGCAGCCATGGCTACGTCTTCTGTGCAGAAATTAATGAATTAGAAAGGCGAAAGAGAGACAGCAAGGACTTTAGTTCCTGCTTCCAGCATGAAGAGAATGTAATGTAGGCCATACCAGCTGGAAAACAGTGAACTATATCAGACACAAACTAAAATGACCGAACTGATTGCATCAGAAGGTGAAACTGTATTGAGTCATGAAATATTCCTTTTTTTGTAGTTTAACCACAAGTTAACTCTTTTGTCTGTTGTGATAGTATCTTTTGTTTGAAAATACATCCTAAAAAATTCTTCAGTCTTGGTCGTCATTGTTATAAGCTGGTGAAAACCCTCCACAGACTAAAGCCTATCTGTAATCTTTTTACAGGTTTGCAGCACTTCCAGATTCCTGTTTGGCTTGTGTAGTCTCAAGTGAAACTGTTATTTCTCAGAAAAAAACCCTTTTACTTCCCCACAGATTTTCTTGATTTCTGATGCATGGATGCATTGGTTCTGTCTTCACTTCTCTTTTGCTCTTTGTGGTATGGCTAAAGTGCGGGTGTCACACTTATAGGCCACATGCAACCCAATTTGATCTCAAGTGGGCTATGCCCGTAAAACCGTATCAATGCAAAGGAAGAAAGGGAAGAAAAAACTGAATATACAATCACAAGTATATTCTAACAGAGACATGCCATTAAAAATGAGCTCGAGTTGAACATTATGCCTGACCTTTGGCATTCATGTAGTGCATTTGCTCTCATTGCAATTTACTAATCAGAGTGGAGCTATAGAAGGAACAAAACCTTCACATGTGGTGTTGTTGTAACTAAACAGCATTAGTGTTTTATGACTTTTATTAATCCGACAGCCTGGTTAGATCTTAAAATCCTTTTGACTTTCTGTACATTTTCATTCCTGTGCGATCCAGGATTAGCAGTGCATTTTGTTTTCAGTTTTCACACTTTGCAAAGCCATGCAGTGGCTCCTGGTGGTGCATGTTTAACACCCGTGGACTAAAGAGGCGGTGTGGTGTACGCACGTAAGCATTCAAACATAAAAATAAATAATAAACCTGAATTCTGTGGCTCATCCTAGCAATTCTGCCATCATTTTTTCACCACCAGAGTATCTTGGAGTCTCTCTAGAGAGGAGCATGACTCTTTTCAGCATGATTATAACAAGATTTTTTCCAACTTGATATGATTACTTGGTTGGGGATTTTATGCAATACAGCACATTAATATCCTGGAAGCTGTGAAAGAAAGGAGTGCAGCTTAATCGCGATCATTTTTACTTTTTTTGTTTTTTGAACCAGTTGTGCATCCAGAAACAAGTGAGAGGAGTGAACTCTGAAGCTTTGGCTATCAGATGCGGATCAGACACTGTCATGGTTCGATGTCTTGAACTGAGACGTTATCAGAGTCAGCTTTTCCGCTTCCCCCAGGGGTTCTAAGAAATCCACTGATGAGACCACGAGAGAGGTCTGATCCACAGTGGCCTCAGTGGGGAAGAGGGAGGAGGCGGCAAAAGAGAGAGGAGAGCCATGGGAGATAATTTGGCAGGGAGCTGGGAGTTGACTGAGAAATAAAGAAGAAACAAATTAGGACCAAAAAAAAGGGGAAGGAAAGAAGGCTATTTTCTGGTCATAACAGACTTTCTACAATAACCCGGACATTATTGAGCTGTTGGTGTGTGTTTATGTGATATGACTTGCACAGCTTTTGGCATCTGAGTCCTAAAATTTTAGCTTTAACTGTGGATTCTCACCACAGACACACACAAACATATACATATAAGGCGTTCACTAGGGTTAAGTACTTGCCTGTGTGTGAACACGTTTGTGCAAGTGTTAGAGAGGGGATACGCATGCGTGCCTGTGTTTTTTCCAAAACAGCAATAATTAGAGAGTGTGTGTGTGGGTGTGTGTTTTACTCCAATGCACCCTTGTTCTTGTTGTTGGAAGAATGTTGATTATAGTCTTGATTTAGCTGCAGCAGCATAAGGATCTCACTTAAAAGCATGTGTGCGCTTGCAGGCTCGGCATTTGCTGGACATTGATGGATATGTGTGTGTGGGTGGTTGCACACAGTGAAGGTGTATGATGGGGTCAAGAGTTTGTTTTGTTTTCAAGTTGTCCAAAGAAACACTGCCCGTCATGACAAGTTTTTCCAGATTCCTTGGCTGCGTGGTGCAGAGCTGGAGTTGTTCGCTGCATTTAAACTGTGCTATTCTTTTGTTGTTGTTTAATTTTTTTTACAAAAATGCTAAGTACTTCATGGTTGTAGTATTGCAAATGTGAGAATTTTCTGCCCTTGCATGTCAGACAGAGCTGTGTTTTTCTATTTAGCAGAAATACGAGTCGTGTCTCAGCTGAAGTGAAAGTAGGATTACATTTCTCACACAAAATGTCCAGTTTGCAGCAAGTCCCATCACAAGCACATAATTTGCTATCAGTGCAGAAAAACAGGATTCTTGGGAAATGTCTTTGTGCCAAAAAGAGGCACTTTGTAAGGCCTAACACAGAAACTCTGTTCGCTCCTTATAAGCCCCAACGTAGAAAGGTTTAGACTAGCCTTCCGGGAAGTCAGATGCCTGCAGATGATTCACTGCTGATCTGAGTGAATGATGGAGTCAATTATGTCTCAGCCAAATCCCGACAACAACTCAACACAGTGATGGAGTATTGCACCTCTTAAATATTGGCAAAGTGAATCAGAACAATCATGTGACTCATTCATAAAGTGCTTGTGGATTTCAGACAGACATGTATGTGGAGTTTTGAGTCGTGAATGTGTGAATCGACTGAATTGTTTTGATTTGACTCAGTTTTAGTGGTGAGTAGCTGAGTCAAGGATTGTGTCATCAACTTTTCTGAAACTAAGCTTTTGATCCCTTACCTTCCAGTAAGAAGTTGAGGTTGAGCTTTCGGTGACAGTCGAGCTGAGAAGCTGTTTTTAAATTCAACAGTGAACTGATTTTTGTGTTTAACGGTAAAAAAAAAAACACTCTCATTTGTTCTTGGCCAACAATTTCTAAGCTAATTAGACCAAAATTTGAATATCTCTTGATAATGTGGGGATATTTTGTACCCAAAAGGTCAGAGGTAAAGTTTTGGCTCGGTTTTCGACCTGTGTGAG